AATTGGTTCACTCGCGTATTTTTTCGTAATTGTATTTTTTTTGTACTTGGTTCACTCGTGTATTTTTTTATTTTAATTACTCGCGTATTTTTCGTGATTGATTCACTCTCGTATTTTTTTATTTAAATTACTCGCGTATTTTTACATATTTAAATTACTCGCGTATTTTTTCGTACTTGGTCATTTGAGTTTTTTCGGAATTGATTCATTCTCGTATTTTTAGCTCCGCTGTCGACTTTGTCGAGCGGAGCTTATCATATGAGTGATTGTCCGTCGTCGTCCGTGTCAATGTTTTACTTTTTCGACTTCTTCTTGAAAACTACAAGCCTGAATGCTTTGATACTTGGTGTATATGTACCTTGGGTAGACCTCTCTTAGATTTGTTCATTTCATGATGATATCTTCAATTCTCTAATTTTGGTGAATATTTTTGTCATTTTTGGTAAAAAGTGATATTTTCAACTTCTTGTTATAAAACGCAAGTTCATTTGCTTTGATATTACATATATAGGTACTACATGTGGACCTCTCTCAGATTTGTTCATTTTGTAATAATATCTTTAATTTTCTAATTTTTGTGAATATTTTTGTCATTTTTGGTAAAAAGTGATATTTTCGACTTCTTGTTGAAAACCGCAAGTCCAATTGCTTTGATGTTACATATATAGAATACTACATGTGAACCTCTCTCAGATTTGTTCATTTTGTAATGATATCTTTAATTTTCTAATTTTGGTGAATATTTTTGTTATTTTTGGTAAAAAGTAATATTTTCAACTTCTTGTTAAAAACCACATGTCCAATTGCTTTGATATTACATATATAGGTACTACATGTGGTTCTAACTCAGATTTGTTCATTTCATGATGATATCTTCAATTCTCTAATTTTGATGAATATTTTTGTAACTTTTGGTAAAAGTGATATTTTTCACTTCTTGTTGAAAACCGCAAGTACATGTATGATTGTTTTGATACTATACATATTGTTCATTTTCTAATGATATCTTCTGTTCTTTAATTGAAATGTGCATTGCTAACAGCGGAGCTATCTCAGCCGAGAGGCTGCTTGTTTTGTACTTGGTTCACACGCGTATTTTTTTATTTAAATTACTCGCGTATTTTTTCGTACTTGGTTCACTCACAGATTTTATTATTTAAATTACTTTTTTCGTAATTGATTCACTCTTGTATTTTTTCGTATTTGATTCATTTTGTATATAATAAATAAGCTGTTAATAACTAAGCAGTAGAGGTGTGATTCACTCTCCTTTGTCGGCACAGCATCGTCGGCACCACCGTTTGGAATAGTGTGACTTATAATCAATACATTCACAATTTCCTGTTTGATGAAATACAGAACTTCTCCCGAGAAATTATCTATGAAGTTAATTATTCCGACGAACAAGTTTATAACTGCGATGAAACTGGTATATATCGGAAGCTATTACTGTCGAAGTAGCAAACAACAGCAAACGCCCACATAATATTGTACATAACAGCAAACGTAATCATGATCGATTTTTATTCGAATATTGCCTGACACATGTGATGATACAACATACAATTTGTAAATATGTTTCTAACATTTCAATTAACTTGCGTATTTATTAATCGTGATATATTTTAATAAAGAAGACACACTATAAATAAACCCATGGGTGTATGTGTACTTTATATATGTTTTGAATGCACGAACCCCCGTCCTTCAGAGGCCCTTCGGAAAGTCGCGACCCTTGATAAGTCGTGGTTTTTGCTTGGATCCCGACACCCGCGACTTAGTGAGGGTTCACTGTAACGTCAGCCACTATGTACTGGCTGTAAATATGATTCTCGTATTTTCACTTAACTATTTTGATTGGGGTAAGGTTACATAATCACAGCTTTACACGGAAAAGAACATTGACTTTTTCCTGAAAACAAAACAAAAAAGAAATGTGTTAATTGACTATATTGCTGTCCCTAAGAATCAAATGGTATAGTCCTATTGCTAAACAATAGCCTTGCGATAGTAAACAACATGGCGGACTGAACTCCCCTCAACGTCCAGGTGTCATTCAAAAAAAATAGCCGCTGTAATTTGCGACTCTGTTGCCAATTTTTTTTTTTTTTATCAACTACTGTAATTTTATACAGTAAAGTGGTTGTTGCTTTTGATCGGGCAGTATTCATATTCGTAATAAGAGGGGGTCCAAACGTTTGGGGTTGTGGCGACAAGGAGTTCAACCGTCGAGGGGTCGTCGTAATTCGCGATTCTGTTGCCAAATTCAGGTATCTTCTAGTTTTATCCAGTAAAATGTTGCAACTTTTGACAAATAATGCTGGGTGCAAAGGTTGAGGAATGTGACGTCAAGCGGTTATATCGTCGAGGGGTCGAAACGTCAAGGGGTCTAATCGTCCTAGGGTCCAAACGGCGAGGGGTCCAAACGATTTGTAATCCATTTATATACACTTTTACTGAGCGGTAGAGTTACATTCAGACTGGGTCAGTGTCCCTGTCAAAGTAATTTTTGGGCTTGGTTTTTGCCAAGAACTGACATTATCTGTTTATTATCATTTTCTTACAGTACCGCGAAACTATAACCCTTCCTTACATCCATTTGAGGCTGCTAGAGAGTACACCAGAGCTTTGAATGCTACGAAATTAGAACGAGTGTTTGCCAAACCTTTTCTCGGATCACTAGATGGTCATAAAGATGGTGTGCATTGTATGTCAAAACATCCAACAAGTTTATCCACCTTGCTGTCTGGAAGCTGTGATGGAGAGGTAAAAACTTGTTTAATAAGAAAAACCTTGATTAAATGAAACAATGTTTCTTGAACTAGATTTCCGAAAAAATAAATATAATACGATACGAACCTATTTGTAAATATAGTACGGCAGTTTAAGTAATTTGCTCTATGCTAAATACAGGATCGATTTTGTTTTCTCATGCGTAAACTCTGCACATTCACTTCAAACCCACTACCATCAGGAAACTGTATTGAACAGATTTAACAATATAATTGCACCTTGTTTTTTTTTATCTGAGGGGCACAAACTAGTTAAGCTGTTACCTTGTAATACTAGTATGAGCTGTGGTTTGTTTGAAATTTCATCTGTGCCACCTTGATATGTAGAAAAAAGCATGATTTGTATTTGAAGTGCATAGAGTTAACACATCCTTTGGGCATGGTGTTTATTTGCACAGATTAGACTATGGAATCTGGCCAGCAGACGGTGTACCAGAAGTATCACAGCCCATACAGGGTTTGTCAGAGGGCTCTGCTGTAAACCTGAAGGAAATCATTTCTTTTCTGTAAGTATTCATGTCCGTAGCAGATTTAAAAAAACAAAAAAAACACTGTAAACCACCCCAGTGAAATCGCTCAAAACATTAAAATAGTGAAATTAAATGTTTTGTTCATTCACAAACAGAAGTGCTCATTGCTATGACAACCACCATCCTACATGTATAAATTGTTGACATTAAAAATTTTAATATTAATTTTAATATTTTTAATTTACTGTGTGACATTTTTAAAGCTACACAAACTTTTTATTACTCTGTAATGAGTGAATTTAAAATACTTGTGTCTAGAACACATGTAGTGTGTGTCTTGTAAGTTCAGAAGTGAGAGCAACAAAACTATCTGTCATTTTAAAAGTTTTACTCGCAGTTAATTCCTCGTAAAATACCGTAAAATCTGTATTAGAAGCCGCATTCCTAATAGAAGTCGCACCCATTCTTTTTGAATAATTGAGAACCAAAAATTCGTCATTTCTCATATGTGTAGATGCTCTAATAGAAGCCTCATCCCCTCTATTGCATTGTACCATTTTAATAGAAGCCGCGGTTTCTAATACAGATTTTACAGTAGTCTGTAAAAATTATAAAGTCTTAAAATTGAAGCAGTTTACAGTATTATTTAAAGTTGGCAGTGTTCACACGAAAAACATGCCTGATCCAAATATTGTGCTTCGTGTCTTTGTGCACATCAGTTTGAAACATATGCCTCACACATTTATTTTTATCGCTCTGCTTTCATCTTGCGATGACAGAGCGGAGCTGTTCATATAGGTGATTGTCTGTCGTCCATCAACAATTGCATTTTCAACTTCTTGACAACTACCATCTAAAATGCTTTGATACTTGGTATGTAAGTACCTTGGTTGGACCTATGTCACATGTGTTCATTTTGTGACAATATCTTCAATTCTGTATTCTCAGTTTCTTTTTTGCATCCCAGTGCTCCCCATAGGGTAGAAAAGATAAATGTTTATTGTATATTTTTAGAGCAATGCTGTTGTTGATCTAAATGAACCTATTTACATATTTGCAAAATTCTATTGCGTTTTTTCACAAACCTCGCACAAACCACCGGTATACTCTAACTTTAACACCCAAAAAACGTGCTTGAAATGTGTGATTTTCGGAAAAAGAAAAAAAATTAATGCAAAAAATAGAAATACGGATTTAAACTTCATGACCTTTGCTTCAAAACAGTGTAAAGTTTTTGATCGCATGAATGACTGTAGAGATGACAATTAAAATTGTATTCACGTTAGTTAAATTGCAGCCCCGCTGATTTTCAGAATCACGTGACGCTAAAACAAACACAATGTTCACAAAACATTAATAATAGGAAAATACAAGTCAAGAGCTTTCCAAACATATATAGATTATATGGTTTTTTGTAAAATTTATTCTGATTATAGGTGTTTACATTTTTCATGCAAAAAAACTATCCTGCTACCTTAATGCATGTGTTCAGAAGTATTATTTAATAATGGAAGAGTTGGAAACATAAATTGTGATGTTTTTGTGTTTTTTTTGTTATGTTTTTTTTTTTGCGAGGTTGTTTGCTGGATTATTAGCCAAGTTACCCACCCCTGGGCATTGGCAATTTAGTGAAATAATAATATATTTTAATTTTAATAAATGACATGCGCCCCTAGCAATTTATTTTCACAATCGCTATATTTTAAATTCTACTACAAAATGCATACATACACTTTGAAAAGAATTTAAAATGTTTTATTTTTGATTCATGTAAAGGTTGGTGATGATAGTACGATAAAACAGTGGGACATGGAGACATCAGAGTCTGATGAACCAATCAATACTATAATAGGAAAGGTAAAATAGAAATTTACACCTTATACATTGCAATATTTGTTGCCATAGCTACCATTCATAGAACAGTGTTATTATGTTGACAATTGTTGTTTTCATTCATGTACTTTGGTAGTGTAATTACATGTATACATTATTCCTTTGTTTTTCTTGGTTTAGTAAAATGCAAGTGTTATCGTGGATGCTCATCCACATGTGTGTTTCCTCATTCATTAATATTACTTGTTGTTTATTCAGTTTTATTCTTTCGTATTCGTAATTTAGTGATATTATTAGACTATATTTTACTGTATCTTTTCGTCCTTATTTTATACAATTCCAAGCTATATTAGCTGAGATACAACAATTGAAAGTTGTTACATGCCTGAAACTATACCGCAATGCATGTATCTCTATTATAAACAAACACAGATTCGGTTTATACAAGCCAATTAATAATAATCAATAGGCAGCACGAACGCAATATGAATCAGTTGCAAGGTCGATTTTAAGCTGATTAGACAATATTGAAAACCAATCACTGTGTTTCCCTCCTATTTTAATCCATAGGTGTGAATCCTACTAAACCCTATAAAAGGGCATACTATTGTGTATAGTTTCCGTTCAGTCGTTCTTTCAAGTTTTTGTCGCATAATTTCGTACGCCGTTTTTTGTTTCCCATTGAGCTATCAATCTATCGCAATGATTCGTTACTATACACTAGGATGCGTACCTCTTATTCAAGCCGGAAATTGCGTGATATTATGAAAGATGTTGTCTCTGCCATAATTGAAATGAGAGGTTACTCGAAGAAGACGATTGAGGGCGTGATTTCTGCTCCGATAGTTGGGCCTGGATGCGTTTACACGATCGGAGCCATGTCGGGACTCAACCCTATCGGAGTTCAACCCCGAGGGTTTAGCCGGCTCGAGCCGAACGAGTTTGCACGGCCGTTTTTGCTGGCTCGAGTCGTTGGGCTCCGATAAAATGCTGTCATGTGAACGTAGCAAATATCATCCACAAGTGTTGTAAGAGTCGTATCACTATCAGTCAAAGATCAGTAGTCATACTGCTCTTATATTGTATTCCAACTGATATATTAGTGTATAATATTAGTATCACATGCACAAGCCAAGTTGTTGCTTTTTAAATAAATTTAGAATTTTTTTCTTATTCTCTTCTGACATTCTTTGAGATTTCAAGCAGTGACACTGTTTATTCGGCAAACGCACACTTTGTGAATTTGAGTTACTCTGTACCATTTATAGGTATTTGAGTTATTCTGTGTCAAGGCAAAAAACATGGTGGGCCACTTCATCATGCTGACACATGAGTGTGTTTCCAAATTTAGTTCTAATATACATTTTTTTTTATTGTGTGCAAAAATGACTATTATTTCTGTTTATTTAAAAACATGTTATTTGAAATATAGTAAACCTCTCGAAAACTTTTTTTTTTCTTGCAAATGACTAAACATCGATGCTGTAAACAACATTTACGCCACAAAAGCATTTCAATTAATTGAAAGGTTTGTCTCACAGAAACAATATATTGTCACCAAGCAAAATTATACGCATTCTTATTTCTTTTTTCAGAGTATTTATATTTCAATTGATCACCATTGGAAAGATGCTGTATTTGCTACATGTGGTCAGCAAGTGGATATATGGGACGCCAGTAGAACTGATCCTATTAGGTCATTTACATGGGGAACAGACAGTATACATAGTGTCAAATTTAATCCTATAGAGGTATGACAAAGTGTCTGCTAGAAAATGATACAATGATTAATTGATTCCAGTCAAAAACGGGTATCAGTCTATAACTGAGCAGTGCTTGAAGCCAGTGAATGAAATTATGCGAAACAACAATAATACATTTTCTTATATTCCGAATAGTCATTCAGTCAAACCCACCATGATTATCCGCTTTAAAAATGTTATTTTCATCATTAGATCAATAATATGTGTACATCGCTGCTGGACCACGCAATTACCACGACCCTTTAATGAATATTCTGACTAGTGTTCAATCATTGTTAAAAGAATGTTACCGTAATTTACGTATATATTTCAGACACATCTTCTTGGAAGTTGTGCTGCTGACAGGAATATTGTCTTATATGACATGAGAGGAGCCGCACCTCTGAGAAAAGTTATTCTAGATATGAAATCTAACACCATAGCGTGGAATCCAATTGAAGCGTACATTTTCACTGCCGCTAATGAAGACTACAAGTAAGGTTATCTTAATAACAATTTCAGTTTTTAGTTCCATTATTAGAAGAGATGACAGTGTAGCTATTCATATATTGCCCATAGGTCATCTGTTTCCAGCGTCCATCTTCAATTACATTTTTCACTTCTTCTTAAAAACTGCTAGCCCAATTACTTTGATATTTTAATTATTCAGTATAGGATAAATGCAACTATTGGTTTGCATGTGCTTCTATATTTGAGCAAATTCGGTAATGTGTTTGCAGGTATAATTGAACTTCAAAATTGTAAAGCCACCAAATTTTAGGACCAAACTAACTTTAGATTCATTAAAATCATCAAGAAAATTAAAAATTAAATGAAAGACACCAATTTAAAGCAGGGAGTCATCACATGCAGCAGACGGCTATAATGTGTCATTGTTTACAAAAGTGTCCATCCATGAGCCTTTGCGGTTTTAGCATGCGTTGTTATCATTGTTTAGGACTCGATTCCCACATGTGCGCAAGTGACAATTCCTCTGATTTAACAAATGCTCTTTATGACCCAAGCTGGTGTATTGTTTTGTTCGCAGTCTCTATACTTTTGACATGAGACGTCTTGACATGCCAGTAAAAATCCATATGGACCATGTCTCTGCTGTCTTAGATGTGGACTATGCACCTACAGGTCTGGAGTTTGTTAGTGGAAGTTTTGATAAATCAGTCAGGATATTCCCAACTGACAAGGGACGTAGTAGGTAAGAAAAATTAGAAACGGAGTTCAGGATAAGCACTATCTGGTTCTATGTACACTTATGTTTACATTGATTTATATGATGCGACTATGCAATTTTGATATCCATGTGTTAGTGATATGAAGATCCTATTTCGTATATGCATCAATCATGCGTATTTCTAACCAAATGAATCCCAGAATGCAGTGGATAATTGGAAATATTCGTTTGGATAAACAAAAATGACCAAGATTAACCCTAATTTGAAAAATGTATGTAATACTTGTAGATGTTTTGTGAAGAGCACTAGCAAAACATGCCAAGATGAACTAACCAGTTCTACCATAAACTCGCTCATCTTGTAAATTCTTGATAGTATATATCAGTGAAATGCAAAGCAGATGCAATTGATTTTGATGTTGTTTTAAACGCCCATGTCCTGAATACTTATACAAATGTATTACCATCCACTCAAAATCATGACACCGAAAATGATTTAAATCTTAAACCACCTAAATACAGAAAGCATGTTTAGTGCATTTTATTTTTTTTTCCAAAACAAAGTTCAATGAAGGTCATAAGAAAACAAATAACAAACAACTTGTGTGTGTGATTCGACTAGTAGTTATACAACACTTAGTCACTTGTGTTTTCCCCAGATGAACAAGGAAAAAAAATATGAGGGAATAATGTATAATTGTTTTCAAATTTTTTAGGGAAGTATATCATACAAAACGAATGCAACATGTGTCCTGTGTCAAGTGGTCTATGGATAATAAATACGTTTTATCAGGGTCTGATGAGACCAATATTAGAGTTTGGAAAGCCAGGGCTTCAGAGAAACTCGGGGTGGTATGTATTTCTTTCCATTATTGTTTGCACAATCAACCAACATTCAACACTTACATTTTTTTTCAGGTAGTAAAATGCATAAACAATATACCATTTTCCGTTCACTGCGAGAATCACGCGTTATCCGTGAAATCGAATGTAAAAACAGGACAAACAAAGGTCATAGCATCGTAGTGGCGTCAAACATCGCGTGGGATTCGACAAACGCGAAGTACTTTGGGGGACATTTCCATGCTTAATAATGTGCTGTCCACATTTCATGATAGGCAATTTCGATTAAGTGGGGGTATTCAGAAGCAATATTCCCCTGTCGAAGATCGGCTGGTCGGTGTGAGTTACGAAATAAAGAAATTCTAGTTCAAAATCAAATCGTTCGACTTTTGCGGCAGACGTTCGACGCGCGTCTTTCATGCATCTCGGGAGATCTCGCAATTGTACGGAAAATCACCTATTTACAGTGTTTCAGACATTGTCTAAATGTTACTAAGCATGTTACTATAACAACCTATATGTCATGTAGAAGCTTAGATTGAGCAAATACAGTAGTGCATAAGACATACCAATATTTTTTTAAGAAATTTACAGCCAACGTAGATTTTGTTTTTTGTTAAATGTCTACATGTTTAATGTCATCGTCCGAATCGCACAGTTTCGCTAAAGCCGGTCATTCATAACCGGCCCACGAACCCATGCGTGATCGTGTTAGGAAAAGCTGTATTTCACTGCAGTTAAATTGAGTCATTTGATTGGGTGCTCCAAGAAGCTGGCGCTACCAATCAGAGTTGCTGTATCAAAAATGTTAAGACCGGGGAGCTTATCACAGATTAAAACAATGGCGGCGTGTAGGCTTTGCTGATTCACATAGATTCGTTGACACGTTTCCAAAATTTCTTATTCCAACGTTGAAATTTTTGTGAGCAAGTGAATAAGGACGATGGAATATTAAAATATTTGTGCAAACTGTGTTTTAGTAAACTGACAAAACTGTCGAAACTGATAACATACCGGTCTTCATTGCAACACAGTCAAGGGACTGTGTTTGCAACAAACGTCATTTTCGTCAGATACAGCACTAAGCGCTTTCTTTTGATGATCAGTAAGCTCGTTCAGAGAAACGGCTTTAATTTTACCATGAAATGTGTAGTTTCTTTTGTGAGTACTTATTGGGTGATGCAAATGAGCCGAAGTGAATCTTATAATCGTTTGAGGGCGTACGACATACAGTAAATCGTGGTGAAATCTGCCAAGGGTTAATGTTGAGGCTTCGGCCGAATAAATGGTCCTTGGTTGGCGAAGATGGTTTAATGTTAAAGTTTGAGTTACTTAATCTGGATTTTAAACAACAAAATAATTTATGTTGCCCATAAATTAACTGTTTATTGAACTTCAAGTTATAATTTGAGCATGATTTTGCAAAAGTGGGCATGGTTTTTCTAAATATGGGCTGGTCAATGTTTTTTTCGTAAATTTATGTTGCAACTTGATTCCCGTAACTCAAACAATTCAGCATCTTGTCTGGTGGCCATGTTGGTTTTATTTTCATGTGTTCTTAACCATTTTTTAGATACATTTCACCAGATTTTGATATGAAAAAAACCCACATGTTTTGTTGTTTGATTCAAAATGTCAAACTTGTTTATGTGTTGATTATTCAATTTTGTTCAATATGAGAATGGTTGTGTTCCTAGGAGGTATCACTTTGACTGTCCGAAATCAGGGACTTATAATTCGGTCTCCGTCTGTGCATCTGTGTGTCCGTTCGGAGTCATATCTCAGAATCCCTTGGACCGATTCTGTTCATTCTTTGCATGTGCCAAGTACTTTATGTGGGACATATGCAATTCAGTGGTTCAGCAATTCGATTCAAAATGGCCGACTGGCAGCCATCTTGTTTTTTGAAAATGTATTTTGGACATGCTTTGTCAGTTTTCATTCAAACTTGGTACATACATGTAGATTATACATGTTAGGATACATGTCCATGACGATTTATTTCGCAATTGGATCAAAGACTGGCAGGCATCTTGTTTTTTTTGTTTATGCGGTACCTTGGACGTGCTCTGTCAGTTTTCATTCAAATTTGGCACATACATGTACTTTATACATGTTAGGATGCATGTCCATGAAAATATGTTTCAAAATCTGGTCAAGGATGGCTGATTGACAGCCATCTGACTTTTTGGCCTTACTACTATATTTCCACAATTTATGTACTATTATCATTCGTATTTGGCACATACATCGTACATATCAGTGTGTTTCATAATCAGATCAAAGATGGCCGAATAACGGCTGTTTTTATTTTTGGCCATATTACTACTACACGGAACATAAATAAACAATCTGTTGTATACGCCACTTGGAACTCAAGTTTCAAGGACACACTCGCAACAACCCCTCTGCTTTAATATGACGAGCACAAAGAGAACTTTCAAAAATTTAACGGGGACTGTGTCATTTTCAATGACTTGTTTAATACTTACTTAAGACTGCAGTCCATATATACTGTCCATATTGTTGCTATGATACCACACACTTATTTCACACACTTCAACTCTCATTTCAGATGCGACCAAGAGAACAAGCCGCCATGGATTACGATGCAAAACTAAAAGACAAATTTCATCATTTCCCACAACTGAAGAGGATTTCTAGACACAGACATGTACCAAAAGCCATATATTCCGAAGCCAAAACATTACGTATTCAGAGAGACTCCAAACGAAGAAAGTACGTCTTTTTTTTATGCAACATTTGCATTAAAACCATGGGTTGAAATAGTTGGATTTGAATTAAGTTGAAATATCTTATCACATGACTCAGTTGCTATGCATGAACTTTGTTATTGTTTGTTGTCCTGTACAGTTAGTTGTTTAAGCGTACATGCTTCTCTTGAACACGAAATACACCACATGTTTTTATTCAGAAGAGAACCACATTACAAATGATGACATTCAGAGAAACAAAGTTTCACAACTCTGCACTTATCTAGGGTGGTTCCTCAGACTTAGTCTGTTAATATTTATCTCAAAATCTTGATTAACTCTTTAAATGCCATCCTTTTTCCTGTCAATATCGGAGCAAAATTCATTTGTATTTCTCCCTTCTTTCTAAATGATTATAATTTACCACTGCAAACTGGTCTTTCAAATTTTAAAAACAATGTGCAGGTTTATTTTGTGTAAGTTTTCAAACCTAATTCAAAGTGTAATTTATTTTTCAGGGAGTCAAACAGAAGAAAGCACAGCAAACCTGGGGCTGTTCCCATCATTCCAGAGAGAAAAAAACATGTTGTTGCAGAAGTACAATAACTTTGCAAATGTTTTTATTGTTATTTTAATATTGCAAAAAATAAATACAAAAACAGGTCACATCTTCACTTGTTTTGTTTTGTTTGATAATTCATTTACACCACTAAAATATTAAGTATGATTTGCCCTCAAATATCAAATATAGGATTTGTTAATGTAAAATGTATAACTTTAAGTTAAACATTAACTATTACAACAGGCTTCATCAAAATCTATCTCTCCATCTGATTGAGTGAAGCAAGTTTTCATATCTCGAACTGTGTTTCTGCCCTGAAACTGAATAAAACTAGATTAAATAACTAAATCAAGATCATGGTTGAAGGGATTGGGAGGGGTAAGATCCACTAATTAGAACACTTAAACAAATTATTATTGCCTAAACTATCCGGAGTTTTGCATAAAAAACCCACATGAGGAGTGTACGCATTATTTTTTGCATAGCATACACATCAAATATGCAACATTAGCATTGTACCTGTCAGTGCCACTCAGAATGTCTTACGCCTGTCTGTGAATCTGTAAACATATCATCGATTTGACTGAAAGTTAGTTAACATTTTCTAGAATTGTTGCTGATACTGTCGTGTCTTCTTGATCTGTACTGCATTAACAGTAGGGTATAGGTACATGTATGTGTAAAAACTATAGACTACTGTAAAATACTTTATTTTCACTTGGAATTAATTCTCGCTATTTTCGCTGAAGGAAAATTCAGTGAAAATAAAATCCTGTGAATATACCTTTTTTCCTATATTTTACATTCAACTCGTCAGAAATCAGTGAAAATAATTTCCGTACAAAACACCCACAAAGTCTTTCCAGCTAAAATCAATTCCAGCTGAAATAAAGTATTTTACAGTATATAGTAAGACTATACCTACATTGGATTTTAATTGGATTGAAACTAATTGTTGCAGTTTGCAGTTAAAGTATGTTTGGGACTGACAATCCAAATGAGTTTATCAGTACAGATGTAAATGCATTAATTATTCTCAGAGTTTTAATTTCACCATTTTTGTTAAGTAATATTCGCTAAATTAAATCCATATGATCATGTCAAATAACAATAGAGTGGATCGTTTTCCAGGCAAATGTGTGAACTTGAAACCAAATGAATATGCTCAAAATAGTAAAAATGAATTGTTTTACAGTATTATTTTCTACCCCACTCTTTCATCACTACTCTAAAATCGGGAAAATAAATATACTAAATGACTTGTATATGAATTTCCTGTTTATAGATTGGACATTCAATAAAGGTGGTAACGTTTGTAAACTATATAAATAACTAAAGTCGTTTTATATTAAATAGATAAAGTTATTAAATATCAAATAATGTCTGTTTTCGAAGAAATGAACAATCACTGTAATATCTTACATTTACAGTGGTGTGATGAAAACGGTATTTAGAGGCTAGGCAGGGAATGTTAAACAGATGAGTTAGTCTCATCCAACTCTTTTACTGTTCTAATCAAGGTCCAAGCTCAAAGAGGGCTCTAATAGTAGATACAATTTCAAACGCTTTGGTAAATTTAGCTTGTTGATACTTTGGTGGCACTGATTTCGTAAATAAGATCTAATCTGACAGCGACACAGGTGACTCAGTGTACTTGGAATACCGCCCAGGGAAAAAATGATGTCATAAAATTTTCTGTATCTAGTAGGAGTTGCATCTGGGCATGTATAGTCACTGCCTCTCAAGTCTATGTATGTGACACTGTTTATCATTGTGCATAGAACCTCTGGAAGAAAGAAGATGGATGATTGGGTTGTTTCTATTGTCATGCGGTTTAACTTTGCACCATAGTTCAATAATTTCATGAAGCATCTTCCCACAAGTGTGGAATATTCCTGGTTGTAGACGCATGCACCTGGGCAGTACAAATTGAAATTGCATATGTTCTTCAGAGCAAGGTCAAGTGGTGTGTCACCATCTTGTGTCATAGTGTTGATATCTGTGACTTTATCTGTCAGATAATCAATGTGTTCAGCCACACCACCTGCACATGCACTGTGTAAAGCTGTCCTACCATAATTATTGGTAATATCTGGATTCCCACCATGCAAGTAGAGAATTTTCAGACGGTCACATTTTGCATCCTTACCAAAGTTCGCAGCGTAAGATAAAGCTGTCATTCCTCCAGGACCTTGTTTGTTGACATCTGCCCCAAGTTCCAGTAGTAACTCGATGTTCTCATTTTTATCATATACTACAGCAAAGTGCAACACTGTCATTCTGCGGTTATCAATTCCATTTATGTCAGCTCCATTTTGAATCAATGACACAAGGATGTTGGAACTCAACTCTGCATCCAAAGCACGATGCAGGAGAGGCCACCTGATAAGTGCCGGTACACTAGCATCTGCACCAGCTTGTAGCAGCATTGATAAGCATTTTTCATAATCGATCTTCCTTTGAGGGCTAGGTGGCTTAAACTCGAGTGCTAGGAAGGCAAAGCATAAGGCTTGGCTTTGACTGTTACCAGCTGTATTAACACATGCTCCTCGACACAGTAGCACCTGCATGACATGACAACTACCATACAAGGAGGTTAACTGCAAGAGGGTTACCTTTTCAAGGTTAAAATGACTCACAATGCGTTGCCACAGAAAAGAAGTTGTCTTGTTCACACAACGTTCTACTGAACTTTGGCTGATTGCCATGTTTGGACTGAAGGGACTATCTAGTAAGGACTTCATAGATGCTGAATCATCATAAACACAAGACAATGCTAATTGTGCATCAGCCATTTCAATTGTTCCAGCTTTCTGCAGACATATCACTTACTGTTTATAGTGAACCTGGTTTATATTTTATATCAGAAAAGTTTCATCAAGCACAATAAAAAATGTCTTGACAGATTATTTGTTTGTTTTTCATGTACTAATTCATTTCACGTCCAGAAGCAAATAGGATTTTAGCAGTTCTGGTAATGGCAAATTCCTGACAAAATGACAAGGTGTTCTAATACAACGACGAATGGTACATCGACAAAGATGACGTAATGTTCGTGGACCATTACCGAGCACAAACAACTGCTCAAATAGAATCTCATTATCTGATGTCACATGCGTCTGGTCAATGATTTCATAGAGATCAATGTAGTCAAGAGAGTTGATGATTAAACATAGAGTCTGTGTATATCTATGGATGTATTGATGCTGCAGCATTGGCTTTAGAGTAACTGGCTGAAAATCGTTCATAAATGCACCAAAGTTAAGAAGCTTTTGGAGACATTTGGCAACCTTCCGAGGACTTTTAGCATCATCTGACATAACCTTGCTGAGTGCTTTTATAAATAGATCTAGAGCAGTGTAACCATTGGAGTTTGTGTGGTTGATTTTGCAAGATTTCTCTATTAACATGCTTATTATTTCAATATGCCCATTCCTACAGGCACAATGCAATGCAGTTTCACTTGTATACGTCAGAATATCATAATTAGGAGCATGTTTATGTAGTTTATATACGACATCAACTAGACCATATTCTGCTGACAAAGTTAAAGCTGTTCTTCCTAGATTGTCTTGTTTGTTAACATCTGGTGTGTGCGCCAGCAATGTAGATATGTAATCTGACCCTATTTCTCTCTCTTGTATAAGAGCCTGGTGTAAAGGCGTGAAATGGCGAGCATTTACTTTATTAACTTCTGCACCATGCTTGATAAGCTCATCGAGGATACTGGCATCTAATTTTAAATCCACCACAAGATGAAGAAGCGAACCATAAAACCTTTCTTCTCCTAGTGATGGTTTAGCTCCAGCATCCAAAAGCAATTTTATGCTTTTCTCATAGCCTGTCCTCTTTTCGGGATTCTCTCTCGAACTTCTCACACAAAGATACAGAGGCTGGTATATATGCCTATCTGTCTTTGCCACCTCAAAATTCACAAGAGCTCTATGAGTGATCAACAATTGTAGACACCTCCAGCTTCCACAAACAGCTGAGAGCTGGAGTGGTGTAAGGTATTCGAAACTGCCAAAGTGGTCAATATATGATGCTCCAAGAATATCAGAATGTAAAAGAACATTTGAGACTGTCTTTCCATCATTCAAAAGGCGTTCTAGGTTTATCACATCGTCTTCACAACAGGCTTTAATTATCTCAGCTTGGATGGCAACAGGAAGTGGATCACGGCATCTCATGAGTGCATAATTCTCTTACCTGGTCCTTTTAACTATAAGTGAGATAAAACAAAAGTATCACATGTTGTTGTCGTTGTTTTGTGTTTTAGACGCATATACTCAAAGCGAAAAAAAAAGTTTGTGGGAGCATCCACCTGAAAATGAATCGGTGGGTAGTGAGTATGGAACCTGGTCTTTCACGTCCCAATTTAGCACCTCAATAGTTATCCAAACCTGGTTTCTACTGTGCAATGTCATATTATCTGATCTATTGCAAACTAATACAACTATCAATCTGACTGTGGCTACAATATTAGTTAAACACTCTACGTATTACCAAGGTAACCAATATATCTAACTAAAAACCTATACCTATCGAGTGCCTCTCTCCTGGTCATTATAGACTACTAATAAAGTATAAAAACATTGACGTATATGTAAAAGTTTCTAATTTAAAAACTCAAGTTGCGTGTGACAGGTGAAGACATTGTATTTTCTGATCACATCTAATATCTGCACTCAAAACTTCAAAAACAAAATGGTTGAAAATTAACAATTGTGTTATTTCGTATACGTAATATCTATACAATTCACATGAATAAAGAATTGCCTGACACCATACAGCGTAGTAAAATCAGTAAGAAAAAAATGTATGTTGTGGGGTAAGGTGCTTTGTGAAGTGTGAGCACATCCTGCTCTATCTTTTTCTGAGACAAAATCAAGCGGTTTGTATGAAAACTGACAAGTGATATTGGTGCCATCAGAGATCATCCATGTAACAGTGGTATTGTATATAAATTGTATTTGACCACAAGCTTATTGTACGAGGGTTGCCAAAACATCTTTTGATTGTTAAGGCTAGTTTTTATCTACACAGAATAGTAAAGTTAATCTTTTTTGTAATAGTCTGGTAGAAAGCTGGCACGGGGAGTCAAGCAGGAGACGCAAATTCTCCTTAATCCCAAGTTCAGCCGGATATATATATCATTGTAATATAATCACTAAATTTAGAATTGATGATGGAAAGTACATTTAATCAAAATATGAGATTAAAGATATACAAATAATGTGTGAATATTAATTAGCTGAAGGACAAGTGATATAAACAATTTTAACTCATAACCAAAATCAGTAACTTGAAGAATATATAAAATTTAGGTTAGATTTTAAATGGGTATGCGAAAGTGACGATCATATACATTGTAATAAGTATTAAGGTTTATTTTACACATATTATTGTCTATTCATATATAATTAACAGAATACTATGTTGTGAGTGCGTAGCAAATGTATTAGGACATGCGCAGACGTGAGTGGTTTGTAACACCGTGAGTAGCCATGTAAACAGCCTGAGAAGCATGAACATTTGACGTTTCTGAAAACGACGATGGAGATAAATCATAATATGGCAACATGGTTCTGTGTTTACATTCAAATTAATAATATCAAAATCTAGTTCACATTCAATTATAAATCCAGACATACCTAAATATACTTACAAAGACGACAGAGCTCTCAGCCATGCACAGCTGTTCCAAAAGAATTTGACGTATTTGCGACCGACTCTGATGACCTCTGTAAACAGATATATATCAGGGCTATTCATATTACAATGGCTTTTGACATAAAATAGTTCGAACGTGATTTTAAAAATAGTTCACGACAGCGACGTATCGTATATAGTCTGGCGAGATGTACAATGTGTTCATGGTAACCAATGTTAAAATAGCCTTCACACTGCCACAAGTCCGGTATAAGCTAACTCTACATCGCTACTCGCGGCATAGTCACGTTAGTAGTGGCTAAGCGGCTAGAATCGAACGGAAATGATCTAGGGAAAACGGGGAGGCATAGATACACGTGACTGATTTGCACGAATTCTTGAGAAATAAGTCTCTGTAAGTGATAACATATGTTAACCAGCAGAACTAATCAATTAATTATGCCGCTTCAGTGTTACGTGATATATATGTTCGAGCACGTTATCAACCCACCATTTTGTCCGAGCACGTCATCAACCCACCATTTTGTCCGAGCACGTTATCAACACACCATTTTGTCAGAGCACGTCATCAACCCACCATTTTGTCTGAGCACGTCATCAACCCACCATTTTGTCCGAGCACGTCATCAACCCACCATTTTGTCCCCGAGCATGTCATCAACCCACCATTTCGTCCGAGCACGTCATCAACCCACCATTTTGTCCGAGCACGTCATCAACCCGCCATGTTGCTTATCCTACTATAGTAGTTATTTGCTTATATTGTTATAATTAATAAAATAGGTATCGAATAACAATTTGGTTTGTCGGTTTGACAAATTCTGTTAATGTGAATCGGCAATCGTGTATAATGTCGTGGGATCGACGTGTGGTGGTAGTGTTTTTTTTTCAATCGCCGTATTATGCATGAATAGTAATGTTTTGTTCGAAGTGGTCTGTTTTGATTATTAGAATAAATGTGATGTATCGCTCTAATACTAGTCGTGTGGCTGTCGAGATGTTTAAATCTAATTGAGAAATTAGATTTGAGAAATTAGCTTTTAAGAATTGTGTAGTACGATTATGCGCAGTAACTTGAAATAAAGATTTACATAATCAATATATTGCTTGTATATATTTCTGGGTGTGTCATTGGTGCACGTTAATTAATTAATTTGTTTGCGTTTACGTTTCACGAGAGAAACCTCGCAAGATTTATTATTACTGTGTTTTGCGAGATATTACACCGCCAACGCTTACAATGAGGGAGGCTCATACAGATAAGCGATTTATTCCAAAATAGTTTAACTTTGCTTGATTTTATTCATATTTTTAAGAAAAACATGCAATACTCAAACGCTGTTCTTGCGTCACATAATTAAGCCAGTCAGTACATTTTTCTAATGCTCATGTCAACGGAATGATTTAGTTTTATATATAACTGCACGCATGCACATTAGTGTTTTTTTATATTTTTTGTCGACGAATATATACAACTCATAGCCTAAGTCGCGTGAGTTGCGCCCTCTGCGGTGCTCCAAACCCAACACAGTACAGTTAGTGGGGTCTGCTGCCGGTCGGCCGCCGAGGGCCAACTCACACCTACATGTTAGGCTATAAAATACAGTGTGCAGGAAAAACAAAAACAAAATCAGTCACGGTTTACAATAAATTATGATCCAATTATCTGTATCAAACAACAATAATGAAAAAATGAAATGTTTTATTTTTTTATTAACTCGACGAACAGCCTGAGCGAGTCACGTTCTACCATGGAAGGCACTAACGTCCGTTAGTACCTTCCATGGTTATACTGACGTCACTCGCTAAACTCGAGCTGCCCTGGCTGATATGTTTCCTAATTTATTAGTTCTGCGCATGCTCAAACTGCCATAACTATTTGACTCTGATACTTGCTCATTTTCCTACGTCAGACATCATAATTTATAATTCAAATCAAACAACTTGAACATCTATCAAGATCAACACGTGTTAATTATGTGTATGTTTCACCTGCCTTGGGTACAATTGTAGCGAATTGAATCCTCCCAAAAGAAGCGAAATAGCCAAGATATCACCCTATAATAAGTGGAAAAATCAACAAATAATATTAAATTTAATTGACGTACATGTAAAAACTGACACGTTGAATAGCGACCAATGAATGCCGTGAACCAATACTCTGGTGTCAGCTGTTGCACTTTGATTCTTGTCAAATTAAATACATGTACTAATCCAACTTAATATGCAAAGCCTCTACACAGATGCTTCCATGTACATGCCAAACATTTTTAATTATTATTATTACTACATATTTGACAAATAAAGTTGGTCAATGGTGTAGTAACATCGACTGTGCGCGAGACAGACATCTGACAAGATGGCTGCCGCCGATATGATGAAAGCGTTCGTTTGTGCGTATGTCGTCTGCGTTCTGTTGGTTGAATCTACCAGCGCACTTGCATTCGATGAGCTGGAATTTTTAGAACACAAGTATGAAGAAATCAGTACCGACGCCGGTTATGATATCGATTCATACGTGAAAGCTAAATTCTCGAAGTCCTGTTATGAGGCTAAGCCGGGAGACTTGACCGAAAGATTTTTACGCGGGACAGCAGATCTACAGGAGCGGAAATGCGAGCAGAGACTTCCTCAGGCTATCATTATCGGTGTTCGCAAATGTTACTCTGGTCGTCTGCTTCAGTTTCTGCGCTTCCATCCCACCATTGAGATGCGTTCCGATCTAGTTCCACTGGATCTTTTCAGCGGGGCGTATGATCAGGACCTAGAGCTGTACCGGAAACAGATGCCTTTCACGACGGAAAGACAGATGACGATCGAAAAAACGCCAGAATATTTCATCGTTCCCCATGATGTGCCGAAAATCGTCCACGACAACATCGATAGCAACATGAAGATCATCGCAGTTGTATGTGACCCGGTGCGTCGTGCCATTGCTGACTACGTCAGAGTGAAATCGGGGAGTAACCCGTCTTATGAAGGTATGATTGGTAACACTTTCGAAGAAACGGTGATGGAAGCCGAACGGGAAGGACACGTCAACCATCTGAATGCCTTGATCGATAGCAGTCTCTATTTCAAGCATTTTTTGCGATGGTTGCACTATTTTCCACAAGAGAATATATACCTGTTAGACAGTAAACTTCTTACCGTTGACCCTACCCGAGAACTGAAACGATTAGAAGCATTCCTGGGACTTCCACCCTACTTTCAGAGCTCGCATTTCGCATTCGATGAGGAGTTGGGTCGTTACTGCATCGTATACCCCCAGCGCGTTTGCTTGCAAGGTGCGGCGAAAAAGACGCCAGAAAGACCAAAAGTAGCAGGCGACACCTTGAAGACTCTTTACGAATTCTTCGCGCCTTACGACAACTCATTGTCCAACACTTTTGGGCAAAAACTTTCTTGGAGTGACAAGTACGGGCCAGCACCACAGAAAAAATAGTGATCGTAGAAGAACTCATAATTCGGGATAGCATATGTTTAGGTGTATTTCAATTAAAAGAAATAGAAAACATACTATTATAAACTTATCGAAAGGGGCACAGACAAACAACATTTAGCCTCTGCAGATTATTTCATATTGTTGTTATTATAAATAAAATGTCGTCGCCGTTTGATATATTGTCATATATAATTCGTTGGCAGCCAAGCGTGCAACAGCTTTACTTAATCCGATGACGTCATCTAAACGGGTTGCAGGTTGGAAAATGACGAAATCATAATCGACTCCGACTAAATTTCATTCAACTTGTATCAGCGTTGCATGAACATCGTCTGAGGTGACTGCGAAAAGTTAAGACAAAGCAATAGTGATTTATATTTGCTCAGTTATATCTATTATACTCACAGATATATGTGTCAGTGATTTAAATAAGCGTTGAAGCATGCGCAGTAACTCCGTGTGACACCACCTGACTTCACTGAAATGTCCCGAATGATAAATCACAGTTTAAAATAATTATGGTAGATATGGGTATATCGAACACAAATGGTGCGACAAATGAAAAAATAGTTTTTAGAAGGCTATATCTGGAATGTATCTTATTAATTCATCTCTGAATTACACAGCTGTACAACAAATTCTACTTGATAGGACCTGGTTATTTATGTAGGATTTTTTTCAGCTACAAAAAAAACATTCATGAAAGTGAGAGAGAGTTCACAAAAAATAAAAATCAGCTATTCTGTATTTGCACTCTGTATTAATGTTGTCCTTTCGTCATTCCTTTTAATTTGAGTAAAATGTCATTTGCTGCTTTCCAGTGTCATGTAATATGTTTCTGTTTACGTCACCAAATCGACCATTTTAGTGGTCCATCCTAGATCGTTGCAAGTTGTAACATTCTCACTAATATAATATTCCAATTTATAATATCACATCGTGACTTGGCAGGTAAATACTTGGATTTTTAAAATATACATGTGTTTTTTTTTCAAGTGTGGATATGTAAGTTGGTATCTGTACCAGTGTACGTCGTTAACCAATTGTGAACGAGCCTGTCAGTTGATGACGTCATCATAGAGTATCGGAGTCACGAAAGCCCAGTAACTGGTGTGTTTACTCTGACAATGGTATTGTGATTCTTAAATATCATATCTTTAACACTGTTGTGGGTATCTGATTTGTTTCATTCTCTTGATATTTAACAAGTGACACCTCAGAATATATTGCAAAATAATTTTAAAATAATTGCCATATTCAAGTTAATTAAAAAGTGAAAATATATGTGTTTTCCTTGAAGTCCGTTGAGCAACTTGTACACATATTTCATCGTGAATGATGTGCCATAAAATTGGTGGAAACAGAGATAGACGTCAGAAGTTTAAAATTATCTGATCTGTGATGTGATGTTATGTTCAAGTTGTAGTAATTGGATTGAATTAGTAATCTATTTTACGACTAGGCCATCAGTTCATTTTGCACAGCGGGTTGCTTAATTGGATTAACCACGAGTCACATATTGTGGGATTTGTCCACTTGTTTTAAAATACTGTGGGATAATCATTAAATTGTAATTTTTACGTTTTACATGTTCCATCTCATTACATATTTAATGCAATGCAATATATTGTATTCATTGTTCTAACACATACACTGATATACCATGTGAATATAATAAAAACAGTGTCAGTAGACACTTGTTATTGAGCTTAAAATAATATACGTTTGTACCTATAACCTCAGCATGTACAACAGCAGTTGGTCATTTTGAATCGGATCTCGAAACAAAAATAACGTGCCCCTAATCCCTGAAAGCAACGTTTTATTATTATTACTCCTCAGCTCAGGGAACTGTAACAGGCATTCAAAAGACGTTATTTTCAATATTCGTATGCATGACATTATGTTTTGTCTTTGTGCTACGTTTGGAACAAATTGGTCAATGCGTGTACGAGAAATGGCTCTGGAAGGAACGTCAATTCATAGTCCTCGTTTTCAAACAGAAATTATATGACGAATTCACTTTAGAATCGAAAATATATGCATGATGCTCAAATAGCAGACTCTTGCTTGTTTTGTCCAAAATAATGTACGAGTACATTTGTATGAAATACAAATTCGTGTAAAGTTTCCCGCTCTAATACTGGCTCTTACACAGCATTTCCAGGTCATTCTGTCTAACCAAATTATCATATTTAATTATGCAAATGTTCTCATTCTGTCTAACCAAATTATTATATTTAATTATGCACATGTTCTCATTAAAATGAAATGTGCTCAAATATTACTTATCATATTCTAAATCCACCCAATTATTCTGATTTTTTGGAAAACTACAAGTATACAACACATACATATTATACAACTTTTAAGTTAGTTTTCAAACATCATAATATAACCTGAATACTTACAGGTGAGTATTAACGAGAGGTGTTTTGATTCAACCTGCAGACAGAAGCATCGCGAGTTTATAATCGCAGTGATCAAAGTGAGCAAAAGCTTAGTGGACCTACAAGCGAAGAATGAACGCTGTTCTTCCGGGATGTTAGATTGTAAAGAGCAGATGAAATTCATCTGCATCATCCACATAAACCAGACGATGTGGATCGGTACTGTCATTTTCAAGCAGGTTTTCGTCACAGTCAAAAATGCCAAAGAAATTTGAAAGATTGGCATTTTTGTCTTAATTTATAGGAATCTGAAAAACAACTTGTTATTTAGTTTAAGCCGCATTCAAGATGGCGGCCCGCATATAGTAAATATCGCATCACGTGTGTGCCAGCTGACTGTGGTTTTCGCCTAGAGGATGGCGACGTCCAGGGCTGTCCAAAGACATGGGTTGACTCTGTCGGTTCATCGCTACCATCAACCACAAGTTGCATTTATGGACTCGATCACAGGTATTGCGAAAAGGTTTATTTCCATCGGAGTTGAAGGCAATCACAATCCAGTATGTCCATGTTGTGCCTAAAATAATGTCAGAATCGAGGCTGTATGGATCCACATTGAGTGATGGTGATGAATCGGCAAAACAGCAGACTGTGGTTAAGCATCATAGATGTCAGTATGTCAACGTCATTGCATTGCATCTTATATTAAATGTAACCCGTTGTTACTCATACATTTATATCCCACAATGCAATGTGATGATGACGTCATTGTAACGGTGCGCAAACTCTGAATGAACATAAATATTGACCAAGGCTAGGTTACACATGGCCAGAGAAGTGTTGAAAATTACAGGCACATGTACGAACATGAACCACGGGATTTAACTGCCTTATGGTTTTATGCCTCCATGGTAGACCTTTCACAGCACCCATTCAGTGAACTTAATATGCTTAGAACAGTACTCATACCTGAAAAGTGGGAAAGTCCCCACTAAAAACTGACGAGTTTAGGAATAATCAAGGTTCCCATAAATGTACACACCGTATGATTTTTGGAAAGGTTATTGGATACCCGAATATTCTCAAGCGGTTGTGTTCGGAGAGGTAGTTAAGGGGCATTCAGCACGGGTTAAATGGAGAATCTAGGTTAATATCCAACGTTTTTGTATTATTCAAAAATGGTACTTAGTTGGCGATACATTCAATTGTCTGTCTGATCTCCATGGTAGATATGTTATTGTTCCTACAGAAACAGCTTGCCATATAGTCTTTGCTTAAAGTTTACTGGAAATAATAGTTCTATATACAAACAAACATCCTATATACCACTGTACCACATGAACATTATTCATCAATAATTTTTCAATAAAAATGGTTATGGTCGTTAAAGGGCGGTGGTCGTCGCGCTGCGCGTGTACGATATTTGTGTTGATAAACATTGAACTTCTACAATAAAGCAGAATTTAAATAATTTGATTACGTATTTTCCATCGACAATCCTACATTTATATAACTTGGGAATCCGTGCTTTGAATATTACACTAATGACCAGTTTTAATTACAAGATTATATAAGAAGAAGGATGGTTTTAATTGTACTAATATCAAGTGTTCACTACTTTACAGCAATATCCAACTCTCTTATACTTATGGGGTATATATTTCCCAGCTCATTTGAAGTGCCTGAGTCTGTAGCACATATCCATTTTTTTTTATCTAAAATGATAGACATTTAAGGATGTTTTGGCATGGCATAACTTGCTGATACACAGTATATTTAGAGTTTCTATCTTCTAATATAATTGAGGCGAAATTGAGGGGGGTAATAACGTTGTCTGCCTACGATGTATGATGTATACCACGTGACCAAATTGCAATTGTTTTAAACATAAAGCAGACAATTACATTGAGCAATAACTCTGTAAACGTCGACAGTTTAGATCTGCAAATGCAACTCTTCACATGTATTCGTCACATATAAATAAAATAAAAGATTCAATACAGCATATATATATATATATATATATATATATATATATATATATATATATATATATACACGACAATTAATCTTTCACAGTCGCTTGGAACTCAATTCCCACGCTTGCACAGGTGATATCCTTCTGCTTTAAAGAACAAAAACAAAATAATAAGGCCCAAACTAGGATGATCTTATTTTAATGAGATTGAGTGCTACATCTGTGGATTATTAAACAGATCAACATTGTACTGAGAACATTTGAAAGAATAACAATACAGACAACCATACCCAGCGTCATGCACTCAAGGGGTATTACCAGGGGACGGTATCGAGGATGAATGATTTGGATGCCATAACCGACCAGGATGTGTCGATTGGCCGGTGATGGAACCAATCATAGTACAGTTTTTGCAAAATTTGTCATTAAAGAAATGATCCAACAAAATATACAATTACTGTATTTTATTTATGGCGATGTAATCTCATATGTAATTAACTGATGGATGCTGTACACCTCTTTGGTGAAGTCATTGTATACTGTTGTATTTTAATAAAATGTTCAATAAACTATACCATGTTATATATTTTAAGAATATTTTATTTTCAGGAAAAATATAGTTAATGAGTGAAATTGTGAATTTGGGTGCATATTGTTTATTTTTACGTGATTCCTACAGAGTTACAATAAAAGTCTTCAAAGCCCATAGTTCTATTATCCCATCAATCCCACGTATTTGCAGTTTCCACCAGACGTGTATGTTTACTGAAATTGTTCTCATGCGTAATCCCAGTACCGTGAAAACGGCATAGTGGCACCGATTCACTGATTTTTATTTGATATGCGAATATAGACATCATGCGGCCATAAATATAAAATACATTTACGAACAAATTTCAATTACAGTTATCCTAATACCTATTACTCCAGCAGTAAACTTTACCACTTGACCTCACGAACGATGAGAGCACTACATCAATTTCAGTTTATTCAGTGGATTGTCATGAAGAAGGAAATATTAGTCTCTATCCATGCTTAGCTCCCAATTTGTAGTATATCACTAAAAAGGCATTTTTTCAAACTTCTGCTTCTGTTAATGTCTAATAAATTGAATTTATAGAAATATGAGCACGTGACATAGTAGACGTACGCAAATGCTACTTGGGCAAAATTGACGGCACTGTACCCGAGACACAATATATAATAGTAGTTGTGTGGAGCTCAGCCCCTCTGCAATGTGAATCAAACTATACCACAAATTATAGAATAATTTTCTATATTTTCAGAGATTGAATTCATACATTGGAATTGTAAATTATTTGTGGCAATGAACACCCTGGAGACAAGATATAGAGTTCGATAGCACCAACAAGTGACTTTTCAGGCGTATGCATATCTGCTACCTTTCCCCGATGTTTTTGTTTCGACTGTATGTGCTTAAAATACAGATAAATAGATATTTGTATTTGGTAACACACGTCTCACCTGTTGCGCTGTGACCATTGTTCAGGGTGTTATGTAAAACCGAATACGTCGAGCGTATTAATTAAATGCTTATGTCCTTGGGATTCGTCAAAACCTTCCAATGAATAATAGTGTATCCGTAAATAATCAGAAATTAACTGTATACTCACTTATTTGGTTGCTATTTGATATCAATTATGTAATAAATAATATAAAATTGACTGTGTAATGGTAAGACCCATCCCACTAGGAGGGGCGTAATAAAATGATATTCAATACTGTTGCAGTTTTGCAGCTCCCATCGCAAAAAGAATTAACCACAGTACAAACACACGTTGTAAATCGCTCTAGACTTTAAAAAAAAACATACTTCAATTGTGTCTATATGCCCAGTGAGTGCCCAGTGAGTGCCCAGTGGTGAAAGGCGTGGTCTATCGTGTCCTATGATTGGTTCCCGGCGGCACCATTTCTATATTTCGAGATCATTTTCAGTGTGATTGTAAATATTTATTTTTTCAACCAAAAATTTGAAAAGGAGATACCCACGGGAAGATAAAACACAAATCTAATAGATAGAATGTGTACTATATTGACAAAATGGGTGAGTTCCTAGTGACAGTTCGTCGAAATAATCTGATGCGACAGCTTGTTGGCGGATTTAATACGTAAACTCGCAGCTGATGCCGGGAAGACTAATTTTCAAAACCACGAATAATAGAACCACTGGGCATCTAATTTGAATATTCATTATAATAGGACTCTGATATCTCACTTTGGGGAAATTGGTTAATTCGGTTCGAATCTAGAACCATTTCTGACGTTTTTTCCTTGGTTCAACGCCACAACCATGCCTGTCAGACGAAGACCTGTCCACTCGTTTTGGCGGAGGCATGGAATAGAAGTAGCCATTTTGATATTTTGCTGCTGTTTATGGATTATGTACATCTGTGTGCACGAGCCGCAACTGAAAACCTCGGTGATGAATAGTCTTGGGTGGACACCGACGGAACTTCGAAGCAGTGTACCGCCAATAAGCCACTATGCTCGATATGACATCAATGGTTACATCAAGGCGAAATTTGATAATTCGTGTTACGTACCGAACACGGACGATTTGAGCCAGCGAGTGCTTGTCGATAAAAAAACACTAAAAACACGCGGATGTTCGCAGCAACTGCCGCAAGCTATATTGACTGGTGTTCGTAAATGTGGCCTCGGACGGATACTTCAGTTTTTACGGTTCCATCCCAACGTCGAGATGCGCTCCGAGCTCGTGCCGCTCGAGTTATTCAGTGGCTCGTACGATAAGGGGTTGGAGCTGTATCGGAAACAGATGCCCTATACGACGGAGAAACAACTAACCATCGAGCGAACCCCTGAATATTTTGTTATCCCACACGATGTACCTAAAAGGATTCATGACGAAATATCTCCACGTATTAAAATAATCGCGGTGATTTGTGACCCAGTAAAGCGGGCCATATCAGAGTACGTGCAAGCGAAGGCGCGTGGCGGAGAAAGTGACCAGCAGTCAAAAGTTGGCAAGACGTTCGAAGAGACTGTTATTGAGCAAGAACGACAAGGTAACGTGAACCACCTTAATACGATTATAGACAGCAGCTTGTATTTTAAGCATTTCTTAAGGTGGTTGCAGTACTTTCCACAAGAACAATTTCACCTTATTGACAGCCGTGAGTTGATCGATCGCCCGGCCAGCGCTCTGCAGAAACTCGAAGATTTCCTCGGCCTTCCGCGTTACTTCGCAAGTGAACACTTCGGCGATGCCAATGAGAAAAAAACAGGACAACAGTGCTTAGTGTTTCCCGAAAATATCTGCGTTAAACCAAAGAAAAACAAGAAACGACGAAAACGACCAGAAGTGGACGAGGACACTAAACAGAAACTATACCAATTTTTTGCACCATACGATCGTTCCTTGTCGGATATGTTTAAAAAGCCATTTTCGTGGTCTGAAAACTACGGTGAGAACCAGGGACTCATGAAGGAGGCTCCCGCAAAATAATAATACTTATTCATTGACAATCAGCGCATGTTTATAGTAGCGGTCACGTGGTATATTTCGGCCAATGAAACCATTGCAAAATGATATACACATCCTGAATTCAATAAACATATAGCTTCGTTTTAATGAATCGAAATACTGCCAGCGCATCACCAGATCTTCAGTGGGTTTGGGGGCAGTACAAATCGAGTATATACCGGAATCACTTTCACATATAGGCTAAAAGGGTCATTTTCGGGCACACTACGTTACATCGCATCACGCCACGTCACGTTCCATTAAATCATATCACATCAAATGTTATCACCACATATTACATTAAATTACGTTACATTACTTCACGTCACATAGCAACACATCACATTGCATATCAATTCACAACACAACATATCACATCACGTTACATCACAATACATTGTATCGGGCAGATGTAGGCGTTTAGTGCTTCAACATGAAGTGTATCAAACGTGTTGCATTTTAATAGCTCTTAGTATTAACATAAATGTTACATCAATGATGACGTCATTTTTATACTTTTTTTTTGTAACTGCTGAACCTATTGGAAAATCCTATCTGCAACCGCGGATAATGTAATGACGTCATGCTTAAATTTGGATGAGGTGGCTCAAAATATCGTATTCAGTTTTTATGATGGTTCAGTACTAGGAAAACGTCATGTGACCCAATAATGTTGTAAACTCACTTTGATGCGTGTTCTGTATTGTGAGCAGATCACCATGGTTCCATTATATATCAAATATTGCGTGTAAATATCGACGCATTTAATTTTGAAGACAAACATGTCAAAAACTGGCGTACACATCATCACTAATGGGGTGTGTGTTGTTTGAATGACGAAATGAGAGGTATATGCCCGGGAGAGACACACTTGCGAAAGGCGGTATATGCTCGGGCGTTTAGTATCATAATAAATAAGATGCATTTGATAATTATTAAAACTCTTGTTTCTGAATCAGACACTTGTATTCATTTTGATATTTACTAAGAATCGTGTACCGACGAAACGCACTCACACATACGGACTGTAAAACATGGCTTTTTAGCTGGGATTTAATTGTGTAGCCTGACACATTTTGGGTTTGTAGCACCGTGGAGGGCGCAACTCACGCGACCGTGTCAGGCTAGTAATTTTGTAGTTCCGTAAATCTGTAATTTTGCTAATTCAACGTTTATTGTAGGTAATTTAAAATAAAGTATATTCTCACAATGAGATTGTTGGCACTCTAGCTAAATAATGATTTTGTTAATTTGTACATTGAGCCAAATGGCATGTAGCTATATTTCAAAGCGTTTTACAGTATTTATGTCAAGTTCAAATGCCATGTACGTGGCTTATTTTGCATTGTAATTATATGCATGTTATTAGACAATCGCTTGACTTCATTCTGAGTCGTAGTTTAGGAAAGACAACAACAGGTACAAATACAGGGCAAATATTTTTTTGTATTAACTATTTGTATATGTCTGCTACAAGGTTATTTTTTCTTTATAAGTATCTCAAGCTTCGCTGTTCATTTTTTCGAAAGATAAAAATGTCAGACTTAGTAAATTTTCATTTGACAACAGGCCCTGCGTTGAATGTATGAACTACTTATATGTCGCCCTCTAGCAGCGACAACTGCGATAAGATATATGCTGGCCCTTTTTTGGGTAAAATGACCAGCCTATAGACAAACAAATTGTAATCAATTAAAACACACTGTCAGTTAGTTATAATAAATACTTGTTAATATACAAGTTTTGTATTCCACGCTTTTCTTGTACGGTTTATAATTACATGTGTAAACAATAACATTCGGGCACTGCGACTGTCTGTTACAAGTATGAGTGAGTTAAAAACAAATATGTCGAATATTTTAAATCTGCAACAAACGCAAGACCAGATCATTAAAATTTATTATTCGTGCTTTTAAAAGCAACATTTTAATTTGTATTTAGACATACTCTCAGCCAAATTACAAGTGGTGGATTCGGTCAATATGTATTGAAGGGGGACCTACCAAACCCAGGGATAGCACCAAGTAATCGTGGGACTGGTAATCAGATTGTTTATGTTGTTTACAATGTTAATCTATCTTTTATTATCCATAGTAATTTGCAAGCAAATTTGTTGTGAGATTAGGTCTAAATGGGGGGATGTCCCTTTAACCGCAGCTACTTCATATCCGGAGAACTGCAATGCCCCCTACGTGACCCGGCATAAATTAATTTGAAAATTTGGTGAAAATTTGACGTACGAAAAGACGGCATCTCGCCTGATTAAAAACAGATGTGATGTCACGTGACCACTGGGTTCATTGTGATTGTGCATATAATAACTACGGCTACGGTTGCAGTATAAGTTCCCAATGTGAATGCATAGTGTATGTCCTTGTAGTCACAGCTGTTACGTGCCAACATATCCACGTACGAGTTAGTCCAATCCTAATTCACGTCAATCGGTCTCCCATTCATCACACATGCAGTGTATGCGACATCCACCGATTCGTATTTGTATCACGGGGCAATTCTTCTCCTCTGGGTTCTCCAACACGTGTCAGGGGGAAATCTCGTCTGGTCTCTATATCTCGTCTGCTTGAGGTACGAAATCGGGAACGTCACTTAAAGTTAACTCTACAGTCAAATAGACGCACACAATGGAATACGTATCAACTCTCGTCTTTAGTCGGTCAGTCGGGTACTCTATAAGACACAGCGCCCCGGATAAAAGTCCCCAAGACTATCTCAAGGCTGACCCAAGACTGCCTCTAGACTCTGTCCCTAGACTGCCCCAAGATTGCGTCTCTCCTGGTGTACTCGCCAAGACCAACTAAAACAACTTTATTCACTTTAAAAACCTTAACCAATTACAAAGCAGTATAAAGACGTCATATCTTTTGATTAATCGTTCACTATATTACTAACTGCGAATACCAACTGTCAGAAATAGCGGTACAGATGGCAACGGTTATATCGTAATTAGTTCCAAATCACTGAGTCAAGTTCCGTCCAGGACCTCGCATGAGCCTAAACGATGACAGATATAACAGACATTCGCTAATAATCTGCTAAATAAGTCGGACAACAGATACGCGCAAACAAATTCATCACTTTTGACTTGTAATGCGACGTATACTACAGATCCGCCTAAGTGGACTGGGTAGGATGGGTTGTGTTGGTAACGGTGTCACTACATCAGGCTATGAATGCGCACGCAGATAACTGATTTTCAAATTTGGATATATCGAATAATCTATGAATGGTATCATCATGATGATATATTTTTATTGATAATGATTCCCGGTGAGGATTTTAAATTTAATTATATGCTGAAAGTAAATTATTACCAAAATAAGATTAAATATTACGCAAAACATACATGAGTAACAAATCCTATTAGAATGCGGTATGGTAAGATTTGTTGGGTTCAGATGTATTATCTCACAATATAATATGCACGAATTTGCTTAATTCCATTCTGATTCTTTAGCTCAAGCTTTGAATTATATAGGTTTTGTGGGGTATAGGATCTTTTCAGAATTAGATAACAAGCCAGTTACTTCGAGTTGAAAAGCACGACTACTTTATTCCGTGATCTAAACACTACTGCCTCATGTTAGTCTTGACTCACACATGTGACAAGTTTACATTCTGGCGGGCAATCTCAAGTTACATTAACGTGATAGGCTATAAACTATAGTGACGTAATGTAAGATAAAGAATATCATACGGTATCCCCAAATATGTTAATCACATAAATCTGTTCCCAACAGGTTTTTTTTTTCAAATAAGACTTGGCTACACATTTCGATGCGCTACCAAAAGAGAAACATATAGAGAAACATTAAAACGCTCAAATTTGTGGGGAACGTGCAAACAATTCTCGACACCTTCTGCTTGAGGAAACGTGGCAACCCTCCACGACATTGTTGCTAGCATGTGAGAGGCCAACGCTTTGCAATATAGCACTGATGTATCAACAACCAAGTACTATGTCAGGGTCAGCTAAAATAAAAAATACACATTGTGTTTACCCTCAGACTAGTATTACTAGTCTGAGGTTTACCAAAACTCGTTGATCGTAGCAGAAACCCCGGGTAGTTATTTTTATAGGTATAATTTATTGTATAAATAGCTGTTAGAATTTAAATTAACCAATCCAGAGATGAATGGTATTGTGACATTATGGTTAGTTTTAATTAGTAATAATGATATGAAGTAGCTATTATTTCGAAAATTTTTAAATATTTTTTCATAATATTTCAACCAAATAGATGAAAGTAGAAAAGAAATGCACTTATAATTAGTACAAGTCTAGCGGCTGTTTCCCAAATTTACATATTATTAAAATTATAGCCTCGTTCTGGCCACAAGCTACATGTATATAGATTAAAGCACCGAATCTAAACTTCTGAATATGAAAATACAAATTGTGTTAGGCATGCTATCCAAGAATCTGTTTCGGAAGTATGACCAAGAAATTTTGCGATTTTTTTAATTACCATGAAACACTGACCTCTGCTTTAAAATTTAAACTTGAAAGAAGAAATGCAGCGAGTTTGCCATGATTAGGGCCATAATTGAAATTGTGTCGATTTTGTCAACGACCTGTTCTCGTCACGTGAACCGGAGGTGTGCCGACAATATTTGTGGGGGTATTTGTAACTGGGAATGACTTGGTTCATTCTCAGATCACCTGGTTCATTTCCATGACTTGTTCGGTTTTCTGCTGATACTGTCACCACCTAATCAGCGGCTCGGTGAAGTGTTTCTGTCTCAGTTACCAAACGAGATCGACGATAATCACGACTAGTCTGAATCACGACCTCCCTGCCAACGCTGACTTTCCCCGACATCTTGTTTCCCACGCGCGCTGTGACTTTGCCGAGGTATAAATCGTGGACAAAGTATCAGCTCCGTTGCGAGGCAACGGTGGTTTACTTTTTCAAACCTTTTATAAAATACGTATCTAAATGAGCTGATTCTTTTTCTTTCTTTCT